CTGAGCGGAGGAGCCCGGACTCACCTTCTGGATGGATGACTTGCCGCTGCGCCGGAGGCCCATGAGCAGGATCCGCGGCTTGGAGCTGTCGCCGCCGCCCGCGCCGCAGCCGCCGCCCGCCCCGGGCCCGGCCGAGCCTCCGCCCGCCGCCGCCACCACGGCCGCCTCCTCCTCCTCCTCCTCCACGCCGTAGCCGAAGTCCTTGGGGAACGAGTCAGCCGCGCCGTAGCTGCCGGAGAGCGGCGCCTCGTCCCCCCCGCCATACTGCAGCGACATCGTCCCGGAGCCGCCGCCTGAGCCTGACAGGACAAGCCAGGCCAGGCCAGGCCGCCCCTCCTGCCACTGCCTGCCAGCCGCCCCCCGCCGCCGCTGCCGCCGCCCGGACCGGCCCCGGCCCTTCCCGCCCCCCACCGCGCTCATTGCGTGGATTCCCGAGCTTCGCCCGCTCATTGGCGCCCGCCGCTGCCACTCTGAGGCATCAGGGTAGGTGGTGCCTCATCACGTGCCTTACGTCACCTGACTGGGCGCTGCGGGAGGGGGAGAAGGAGGAGAAAAAGGAGGAGATGATGATGAGGAGGAGGAGGAGGAGGACAGGGTCACGAGGAGGGTGCCCCTAGATGAGCTCGGAGGCCCGGTCGGTCTGGCTCGGCCCCGGCCCCTCCCTTCCCTCCAGAGCGGCCTGAGAGCCCGGGGCCCCGGGCGCCCTCCTCCCTCCCCCCACTCCCAGCCCGGCGCTCGTGGCCGTAGCCGTGGCCCCTGGCCCCGCAGGCTGAGTGCGCGTCCCCGGCGCCCGGGCCTGCGGGAGCGCTCGCCTTTGTCTCTCGATCCCCTCTCCCCTTCTCTTCACCCAGCGGACGGGGAGAGCCCCAGGGCCGGCGTGGGTGCGAGCGCTGGTAAGGGGAGGCCCGCCTTAGGAGAGGAGGCTGCGCTGCGCTGGCCCAGCGGGCCGGTCAGGCCTTCATGGCCGCCTTCCGAAGAAGATGGGGCATCATGAGATCTCCTGCAGCCGCCCCGGACTCGGAACTTCGGGACTCGCGGCTGATTCCCTTCTCCACCTTGGCGGACGCTTGGCCGAGCACAGCCAGGCACGTGCTCAAAACCCCTCCCTGCCTGGTAAGACCTGTCAAGAGTTTGGGCTCCATTGGCAAAGCTTTGGAGTTGCCAGGGTAGATGCCTCAGCAGGCCATTTCCTCCAGAAACCTTCCCTGACCCCCAAATCCACCAACACCCTTCTCTTCCCCCATTACAGGAGCATTGAGTACATAAGGTGTCCCCCTCCTCCGCACCTTGCCGGCAGATTGACGGGAGGACAGGGAAGAGAGGCACGGGGTAGGTGGGCGTGATGGGGCTGCAGTCTGCATCATTGGGAGAATGTACCTACCCGCGTTGAGATCACAAATCCATTGGGGCGTCGGAGGATGTGCGTAATCTAGATAGGCAGAGGGGAGAAACGGTGGCCTAGGAGTGATGACTGGTGGAATACTGGCTGTTATAACTGCGGGGCGGGGGCAAGTCACCACCTCTCTGGGACAGCCGACCTCACAGGACAATGTGGTGAGGAAAGTTCTGCCCAAAGCCTAAAAGTCCCATGTAATTGGGTAGTTATTGTTAGTGTGTATGTGTGGGTGCTAACATTTTTAATCAGTCAATACAATCCTAATGAAAAATAAAGATTTAAGTAACTAAACATAGGAAATAAAGGATGGTTCTGGGTTGGCTATTCCCCTATGCCAGGATTTCATCGATAGTTCTTTGGGCAATCTATTTCCAGCCCCCCAAAAAAATTACTTTTGAGACTCGGTTGTTAGGAAGAAAAATCAAGATTTGGGGGGGGCATATTAAGTTTTTGAGTCTAAGTCAGAAATTTTCTAATTTAGTTTTGTCTAAAAGGTTGCTTTTTCTGCCTACCATGATGGGACACAATTAGACAGGTACTTAAAGATCCCATCAGATCTCTATCTGGCCAGGAAGTGATCATCTAGGCAGGAGCTGTACCTGTCCTTCAGATGAACCACTTTCATTTGGGTTGAACATACTTCTCATAGGAGCTTAGTGGTGAAACTCTACCTAGAGTTCAGCTTATCCATCCTAACACCCTCTGTAACATCCCTAACAGATAGCCTCCTAACTTCAATAGCCCCAGTGAGCAGGAGGAGCTGGCCACCCAAGGCAGCCTTTCCAATGATTAGACAAAAAAGTACACCGACTTTAAGTCAGGAGTCCTGGGTCTGAATGCCTGGTCTAAACTGGCACCTTTAAGGCAAAGTATTTAATCTCTGAGCCTAAGATCCCTCATCTGTCAAATAAGGGAGGAGGGAGAATTAGATCTCAGTGATCACATTGTCCTCCTCCCCCCCCATAATTTTTTTTTTATATTGGGAAAAATTCAGCTTTCCATTTGGTCCTACTTCTGCTTTTTGGCACATAAAGCAATTCTATTTCCTCTTTCAAATGACATCTTTTAAATATTATAGAAGACAGTAAAAGATCAATAAAAGTTAATTTTTCAAAAGTTGAGTTATCAGGAATCCCCTTGCCCCAAGTCTTCTTCAAGTTAAACATTCTCAGTTGGTCATGCAGCATGGTTTCCAGCCCTCTGGTTGCCCTCCTTCAGATGTATTCCAGCTTATCATGTTCCTCTTAAAATGTAGGATCCCAGAAACAAACCTAGTATTTTGGATGTGTCCCAACAGCAAAATACTCTGGGGCTAATTTCTGGGGATATGCACACTAATTATGATACAGTTGCTTAAAAAAGTTCATCTTAAGCAACAGAAGTTAATTCATACTGACCTTCTGGTCAGCTTAGATCCCCAGATCTTTTACACATTGTTCCCAAATTAGATGTCTGTCTTACTGTAGGAGTATGCATTTATCTAGTTAAATTCAGCTTCGTGGTTTTAGTCCCATATTCCAATCCCTTGGGGTCATGTCGTTTGCAATAGTTAGCCCTTCACATTTCATAAGCATACTTTCTGATCTTCATCCAAGATACTGGTGAAAACCCCGACAGAAGGACAGAGCCTAGTGGTGTGCTACTGAAGACCTCCCTCCAAGTTGATATAGAGCCATTAAATCCACACTCTTTGTTAAAGTTCAACCAGCTTTAATTAGCCACATGATCACCCATCCAGCCCACATTTTACCACATCATATAACAAATGTAGAGTAAATGTTGCTCGTGACCCTGGGTTCTAGAAGTAGGAACCCAGTGACATACTGTAATCTCATCTAAAGACCAATCTAGCTAAATTTCAAGATCAAGGCCACATAATATTGGATTTTTCAGCCACAGCAACTCTCAAAGGGCTACCTGACTAGCATTAGAGCAGAAATCTGTGTTGGTGGAGGGGGCATCCATACTGAGGTAATTCATGGATCCATGAAACTATGTCCAAGATGTATGCCCTCCATCTGCCATTCTAGTAATTCCATACAAAAAGGAAACGGTTAGCTCCTTGAAGTAGCCTGTCCACACCCATCCATGGAGGAATTTCACATCCTTTAGTTAAACTAGGTAAATGCAAGTGATTTGCTTGCCCCAACCTCACCCCACTTTTCCCCCCAAAGGTAAAAGTGATGTCTCCTTCAACTGAACTTAATACCTCATTTCCTTCTCCCTGTGGCACTTCGTATAGGGTCTGGTAGTGTAGTCAGTGGTAGCTTATCTCTCCTACTAGACTGAATTCATTTTTGTATATTCCACAGCACCTTACCCTGAGTAGGTGCTCAATAAAAAATAGTTGAATGAACAGTATTGCATTTAAACCACCTCCACAGATGTAAAGAGTGGGACCAGCAAGGCACATTGGATTAACAAGATTTAGTACCATCAAGTTGGAATAGCTTTCAACAGAGGTTGTAACATGTTATTACTAACCAAACCAGTCTTAAATTAATAGAGGAGACACTTCCATACTCCCAGTGGTTATTAGAAGACACTGTATCATCTACAAGGGCACAATTTGGAAAGTAAAGCATAAACAATGGTATTTAGAAGGTAGCTCAGGTCATCTAGTCTAGCCCCTTCATTTTATAGATGAGAAATTGAGGCCCCAAGCAGTGAAGTGACCCCCAAATGAGATCACCCCAGTATTACGTGGGCTCCAAGCAAGGATCAATAACAACATTAGGTAACCTAAGAGAAGCCTGGGGGAAAGGTACTTCATGGGGATACTAAGAATGAGATGAAAAACTGAAGGGCTAAATACTTTAGGGGTGAAGTATGCTCGACAGATGACCATGAACTACAGATACCAAGGTTCTAGAACTGTCTCCTTTCAGGACTGCCTTTGATCAGTGCTGAACTTGCTTATTAGCAAGTTTTACAGGGAAGAAATGGGCACCAGAATTACAGAATATCAGGACTATAAAGGACCTTGGAGAACACGAAGAGCAAGCCCCTCAGTTTACAGAAGGGGAAACTGAGGCCTGATGAGAAGTGACTTGCCCAAGGCTACACAGTACATTAGTAGCAGCAGGTCTGGCTCTGTTTAAAGTTCCATGAACTTTGGCTCAGGAAGTGCCACTGTATATCGAGCTGCAAAACAAATATGCAAAGGCCAGGTGCAGGAGGAACACAGGGAAGCCCACTGCAAAGCACCACACGAGCCAACAGCCAGAGCACAATCACGACAGCGATATGGAGGAGAGAGGACCAGTGAGCCAAAGCAAGCCGAGATGACATCCACGGCATCTCGACAAAGAGCTCACGGGGGGGGGGGGGGGGGGGGGGGCCTCCAGGGAAAGTCGTGCAGGGCTGGGCTGCCTCCCTGGGCCTCCTCAGCTACAGGCCAAGCTCACAGGGAAGCCTCACAACTACAACGTTGTCAGCTTTACAAAGCATGGTCCTATCTGGGCTTCCATCCTGCAATAAACTCAAGGCAGCTCCATGTTCATTTCTGCTTGGTTAAAATGTAACAACAGTACAGTCATTTTTAATCTGAGAAAATGACAGATAACTACATTTTAAGGTAATGAAGACAATTTAGATGGCTGTGTTTGGAATTCCTCAGGATTTACTTTTGATTTTCCTGCTTTATGAGCCAAAAAAAATTATATTAAGTTTATTTATTAGTGATTCTAAGTGTTTTTATAACAATTAAATGTGATAAGTGAGTTTAACATATTAGAAGAGTTCTATAGTATCTGTCCAGAAAAGACTGATTATATACTATACAAACTATGCAAATCGTACAAAGCCAGTTTTCAGTGCCTGTTCAACTGAGAAGAATCCTATTCAGCACGCTTCTCCTCCTGAAGTGGTTCATACTGAGCAAGCTACGGGGCAAAGACAGAGGAGCTTTGGTGAGTCGGGATTCTAAACTAGGTAAAAAGCAACTCAAAGCCAACAAAACCAGCAGCAGTAACTTGATTATATTCAATCTAATTAGGAAGCAGCACACTCACAATAGCTTTAGTTCCTGCACCAAATAAGCCTCCATTTAAAAGTCACTCCAGGCTCTAATATTAATCGAATTAAATCCACTAGAGGCAGGTTTTAGTGTTGACATTTTCAGATACTTTCATTTACCAAACTCAAAAACATGCCCAGCTTTTGGCAGTACTACTTCAAGTCTATTACTGTTTTTCCACGTTAAGACTGACTACAAATCATTTTGACCACCTTAGGCACTTTTGTGACATGCATTAAGGCAAACTGTTTCTCTCCCCACCAAATCTGTGGTTCTAAATGATTTATCAGGAGAAATTTCCTAAAAACAAGTAGAGAAAAAAAATGTGTAGGATATGCTGATAAATGAGCCCATTGAGATTTAGCAGCACTTTAACTTGTAAAAAACCTAAAGAGCAAACTAGCATCAGCACACTGCAGAATCGCAGGTGGTATTCTAGAATATTTTCTAGGTTGCAGAACTGTCCTATGGAAAGAATACTGGGCCAGGACTTGGAAAACCTGGTCCTGTCAATTAGCTGTGGGATTTGGGTATGAGGTAGAAAGATAAAATAAACATCTGACAAAATGTCTAATAAGAGAAAAAATATTTAACAGGCATTATAAATTACATGAGTATTATATTATACGTAGAAAACATTATAGATTCAAGACAGAGTAAAACTTCATTGATTTGGACAACACCCATTTGGAGCCTATGAAAATTAAGAGCCAAGCTGAGGTTTATCAGTGTGCTAAGAGGATAAGATTTTGCTCATCAAAGGAAGAACACACGTTTTCAAGGGGTAGTTTGGCCTACTTAAGAGAAATCATTAAAATAACTTTAGAAATACACATTTTCCTAGAAAGAACACCAATTATTAGTCATTCATATCTTTTCAATAAAGTAGTCCCTGAGAACTTTTTTCAGTTCTACATTAAGTACCTGCTTTTGCACAAGTCAGTATTCTTAACTGCCCTGTATTAACCTCAGATTACTTGCAGAGACTTCAAAACAGTAAAACTTTTATCTTTTTTTCTAACAATCTGTAATTCAGACTTTTTTTTTTTTACTGACTTGGAATAGCCTCTCTTCGGCATGTCCAAAGTTGTGAGGTTTTACTATATCATCATCCGGAACAGTGAGGGAGGGGGTGCTCTAAAATTCAGTATTTACCTTTGCTTTCAGCTTTTTGTTTTCTTCTACCACAGCTTCATATTTCTCTTTCACCTCTGCCAATTCTAGGCGAAGCAACTCTATTTCTGGATTTTCTGGAGTCGAAGCTCCTAAGTGATGCTTTAGAAAACTAAGAGTGGAGTTAAGAATATTCTCGTCTTAAAGTGAAGGAGCATTGACAGCAATGTCCCCCAGTAACAACTAGTATACCGTAGGATGTTGCTGTGTGTTGTGAAGCAGCCTGGATTAGTGAATTTAAAATCAGAAGACCTGGGTGCAAATCCCCTCTCTGATCTTCTACCTGTACCCTTGGGCAAATAGATTTCATGTCTTTGGGCTTCAGTTTCCTCATCTGTAAAGTGGGAGAATAATACTTAATAAGTACTCCTTCATTCTCCCTCACATGGTAGTTATGAAAAAATACTTTGTACATCTTCAAGCTCTATAAATGTAAGCTCTTATATGATACATAAACATTATTGGAATTCTTATGCAATAGTCACAATCCTGTCTCCAGAAGGAAATCAGAGATTACAGGGAAGGAACCTTCCCTTTTTTAGCAGTTAGGTGGCACAGTGAGTAGAGTGGCAGGCCTAATGTCAGAAAGACCCAAGTTCAAATTTGGCTTCTGATGCTAGCTGTATGCCCCTGCATACATCACTTAACCGCTATTTGCCTCAGTTTCCTCAGCTGTAAAATAGGGGTATTAACAGTACCTATTTGGGTGCTTAAGATGGCATCTGGCAAAGAGCAGATGCTGGAAGGAACCTTAGAGATAGCATCTTATCAGGGACAGCTAGGCAGCATAGTGGATAGAGCTCCGGCCTTGGAGTCAGAAGGACCTCAGTTCAAATCTGGCCTCAGACACATAACACTCACTAGCTGTGTGACTCTTGGGCAAGTCATTTAACCCCACTGCCTAGCCAAAAAAAGAGAGAGAGAGAGATAACATCTTATCCAACTGCTGAGAGATTCAGGATCACAGTAGTAAGTGGCAGAGCTAGTGGCTTCAAACCCACTTCCAATACCTGCTGGACTCTGCTTTTTTTTTGGCCATCCCCAGCTGCCCTTGCTGTCATTTCCACACAGATCAACCAGATGTACAATATAACCTCGAAACTCAGGCACTGAAATGGACAAATTGTAAAGTCCTTCTTCCCCTCAACATTTTAGAAGGTTTTCTACGTGGAAAAAATACCCAAGACTGTCAGGTGGGACAAAGGATACTCCAATGCGCTATTGGGTTTTTCTGGTTCTTCATACAGGGCGACCAATACTGCGGATTAAAGGGCAGAAAAAGTAGCAGTTAAATACAGTAACACTTATTGGCTGAGGTTTTTAGTTTTAAAAACAACTTCCAAGAATTACTTGAAGAAGCCTTGTATCTGAAAGAATCAAGGACTCTTCTAAGTAAAATTTCAATACAAGAAATGCTAAGGAACTTTTTAATCAAAAACTTAAACAAATAACTAGTAATAGACATGCTTAGCTAAGGACAGCTCAACAAACAGCAGATCCTGTTGCATAGAATAAGATTCTTTCCCAAGATGCTGAGTCCATATGACCACTGCCATGCTAGAGTGGATACAATAAATTAAATTGAAAGTAAAATCCTACATAAATACATTATTCACAATTCTTTTTGGCATATTATTTATACATGATAACTATTTAAATTCCTATGTAATAGTCAATATAATAAAATTTGACATGTTTTTCAAAATGTGATGCAGTGATCTCAAGGAAAAGGGAAGGTGCTTTTAAAAACAAAAAGTTAATAAAGCGTGCTTTCTGGCTGTCGGTGCTCACTCTGGTGTTCAGGTCCTCAGATATGATTCCACTGATAAGATGCCTATCCATGAGACAGGAAGAGAGACTGGACTCCTTAAACTGGAATTCTACCTGTAATTCTGAAAGGTGTACAAGATAGGAATTGGCACAGTCTCTTGATATAGGTCAAGAAAAAAAAGACCAAGTTACCTTTTCAGCAAATTGAGCTAGCCCAAGGTCACACAGCTGATGAGTGTTGGAGCCAGGGGCCTATCCTTCAAAAGAAAGGTTGGCACCTCTGACAAGATGGAAGAAGGGAATAAGAAACTCAGAAAATATAAACTCTTTAAGGGCAAGATTGTCCTCCTTTCTGTCTTTGTCTCCCCAGCACTTCACACTTCAGAGGCACTTGATACTTGTGGAATTGGATTAATATAGAACTAAGGTAGAAGAGATTATGAAAAGTATGAAAGTTAAATAATTTTGGCAAGATACAGATGTGCCCATATCAGTAGGTATGGGAACAGGCATTTAAAAAAGGTGCACTTATTTGGAAGGCATTTGGAGAACTAGAGAACAGTGCAAACCACAGAATCTGCACTGAGATCACAGCCAAACAAGAATCCCTTCAACCACACATCCAAGTGGTCATCTAGCCTGAAGACTTACCCTGAGGGGAAACCCCCCACTATCTCCCAAAACAATACAATACATTCTACTTTTGGAAATCTTTAATTGTTCTGAAGGGTTTTGCAGACTTTGAAACCAAAATCTGCCTCTCTGCAGCTTCCACCTATTGTTCCTAATTCTGCCCTGTGGGGCCAAGAGAACAAATCTAATTTTCCTCCCACAACAACCATTCCAAAATATTTGAAGACAACTGACAGGCTCTCTTTCTCCCAGTCCGTGTTCTCCTCTCCTCCTACCTCCTCCTACCCCCTCCTACCCCTCAGATAACTAATGGAAAAATTTAGGGAATCTATGAAATAAAAAGGAGAGATAAAAGGGAACATCGATTGTGGCATATGGACTTGGAGGTAGTCACACTGGCCCCTGGATTGATGCCCAGGATAAGAACTCTATTCAAACCACCAGATTCTAAAATCCAGACCTAAAGGGTAAATCTTATTAACACATGCAAAATTTTCTCTACTCTTTAACTTTGGCCGTCCTGCTTCTCTCCCCATGGAAAATCCAAGATGCTGAAGTGACTAAATGCCTTTGGTCAACCTTCTGATCTTGCCTCTTCTACCTTGTTCCCTTATCTATCCAACTTCCATCCTCAACCTTAAATCCCACTGGGATAAGGATAAAGGAAAGGTACACTGTAGCAATAGGTTTCCATTTTAATGAACCGGATACAATATAACAATTTTATAACTCCACCCCGCCAACTCCTTAAACCAGAATTCTGCAAGAAAGAAATTGGTGGTCTCTTCATATAAATCTCAAAAAAGTACAAAGGTGTATTTCAGCAGACTAGAAAGAGCAGCCTGCTCTGGGCAGCTAAACAACCCAGTCTTCAATAATTTTAATATTGGATGAAGCTTTTCCGGTCCCAATACTACTTTGTATTTAAACTTTTTTATACTGTGTAACCTTAAAAATAATTAGCAAGTGACTTAAGTCACATTCAACAGCTTTAAAACTATAGCCTTAAATTAACCACCTGGATTTCCAACCTGTACGTACCCTCAGGTTTTCCAGATTAAGGCGTAATGAAATTACACAAACTCGTGGTGAGGTGGGAGTGGGGGGCGGTGGGGGGATCACACCTCTTCCCAGATCTGCCAACTATTTGATTTGCAACAATCGCAGAAGTTAATCTTTCTCCCCCTGGCTTAGGCCGGGGAACAGCCGCCACTCCCAAGCCAGCAAAGGGGAAGCTGAGACATATAAAGGGGAGGGGTTGGGGACAGCAGGGAGCGGGCGGTTGAGCCTCACAGTCCAGCAAACTGGTCGTCTTCTCTTCCGCTTGCAGCTTACTCGGTGGCCTCGGCAGGGCCCTGCAGCAGCAACAGCCCCTGGCCCTGGTACAGGTGGAGATGTACCTGGTCTGGTTTCCCCCCTCACCCCCTCCAACACACACACCCCTTCCCCTCCCCTGCCCTCTCCCGGGCATCCCTGGCGTGCCGAGCTGCGGGAGCTCTGGGAATGAGAGATCCCAGAGTGAGCGCCGCAGGGGACTCTGAGTGTAGGGGCGCACCACTACCCCCACCCCGTTCTGCACATGGGGGTTCCAAGGCCCCGAGGGGAGAGGCAGCTTAGGGCCCGGGCGGGCCAGGGCTGGGGCGCAGCTATCCTGCGCCGGCTCGGCCGCTCAGCTCACCTTTGGTGAGCGTGTCCAGCACTCCCGACTTCTCTAGGTACCTCCGGAACTGCTCCCGCTTCGAGTCGGCGGCCTGAGGAGGAGACACTGCAGGTCAGGGTCAGGGTCAGGGGCCGGGGAGGAGGAGCTGAGGACGCCCCAGTCCGTCCCCCGGCGCCAGCCCGGCTCCATCTGCGGCTCCCTAAAGCCCTGACACACGCCCCACACGAGGCGTCCCACCCCTTCTCGCCCCGCGTCCCGGTCCCGTCCCCTTCGCGTCCCCTCACTTTGTAATGGGCCATAGTGACAGCGGCAGCGGGCGGCGTAGCCTGCGCGCCCCACACCGTGGCTGCCGGGTTCCTGGGGCAGGAACTGCGCGTGCGCCTGAAGGCGCGTACGCCTGCGCACTGGAGGCCCACGAGCCCGGGACGTCGGGGCGTGGCCTGTTTTCATGGTGACCGGGACGCTGTAAGTTTTCCCCCCTCGCCTCCCGCGCTCCGGTGCCTAGGGAGTCTGCGTAGACGCGTAGGCACACCCCGGCCGGTAGTCGACGGCACTTGTGTCTGGTTTCCTCTTCCGGTCTGTCTTCCGAGGCCGTTGGGAGCTGCTCGGAGGGAGGGGGGGAGTGTCGTGACTCTATAGCTAAATTGGCTGGTGTCGCGACAAGGACGTGAGGTGAGCTTGGAAACGGGCGGTGGGTGGGGCAGGATTTCCCGACGCGCAGAGCCGGGGACGCTGTTGGGCGCGGGAGATTGCGTTCGTAGGAGCCAAGAACGCCCGAACTGGAAGCGACCTTAGAGGCTGGCTAGTCCGACCCCCGTCCTCATACGGATGGGGAAACTGAGGCCCAGAGAACTAGCGGAGGGCGCAGCTGGCTGGGAAGTGGGTTAACCAAGTCTCCTCCCTCGGAGTGTGTGGGAAGGGGGTTAGTGAGCGATGTGATGAGTGACGGGGCGGGTCGAAGCCAGGTTGTGGGGTCCTGGAAAGGGGAGACAGCGCCTGAAGCGTGCGTAAGTCCGTACGTACCATGGGAGCAGGGTGCTGCTGGCCCGGTGAGGGGGAGGAAGTTTGGCTCTATTCTGGGGCTCCTCCTTCCCTTTTCGTTTTCTGGCCTACTTGGCCTCTCACGAGGAGATATATTAATGGCCGGCGTCCAAAGCTCCCTGCTGGGGAGGAGGAGGGCACATTGCACACCTCATCTTTATCCGGTGCCTTTTACAGCCGACAAAGACAGAGTTTTCCTCGCCGTATCCCTGTGAGGTAGATAATGGCCCTTTTTACAAAGAAAAGGCATCGCAAGGTTTTTTTTCGTTTGCCCACTAGCACACTGCTAAGTTAAAGGCAGAGCTGTGGCTCAGACTTAAGCCTTCTGATTTCACCCCAAGTCCAGTGCTGTTTCTGAGTGGGACTGCTAAAAATAGAAAAAGGTGCAGAGCCTAGAGCCAAATAATATGACTGTGACCATTTCCTTGTCTAGTGTTAAGGTAGAGGGGAGATGATAAGGGAGGGTAGTAACACCCACCACTCTTTAAGATTTATTTGCAAGATGACTGTGCTGAAAATTTATTAAGCATATCCATTCATTATTTACTGAGCTGTGAGATAGTCTGATAAAAGACACATGTGTCTTCATGAAATTCATGTATAATGGGATTGATAAGAGGCAACACGGGAAAATACAGTAAAAGATGTACAAATTGGTATGTTATTTCAGAGGTGAGAAATCACAATTGGGTATTGTCAGTCAATAAGCATTTATTAAGCTCCTACTGTGTACTAGGAACTGTGCTAAGCTCTGGGGGAGAAAAGAAAGACTAAAGATACCCTTTGCCCTTGAGGAGCTCACGATCTAATGAGGGGAGGGAAGACAACGTGCAAACAACTATCTGCAAACAAACCATATGCAGGATAGGTAAGAAATAAGCAACAGAGAAGGTGCTAAAATTAAAATGGTTTGGGAAAAGCTTTCTGCAGAAAATAGTATCTTAGTTGGGACTTAAGCAAGAGAAGCCAGTAGATGGTGATGGGGAGGGAAACCATTCCACGCATGGAGGACAGCCAATAAAAATGCACTGAATCAGGAGATACCATGTCTTGTTCTAGGAACAGCAGTTAGTGTAGCATCAGTGTGCTGGCACCTCTTGGAGGGGACTTTTAAATTTTCAGCAGATCGTTAAGCAGAAGCATTATTAAAAATTAAATTATATGAACCTACAATTGAATTATATTAAAAACAAAGGTAATGATTACTCAATTCATCTTTTTTTTTTACTATTACCTGTGATTTTGAGGTGTTAGCCATTGTAACTGTATGGTAGAGATATTATAGTGTACTGCTTTGAATCTTTTCCCAAGTCCCCATTGTAACTTGCAGTCAGCTATAATGGGAGTTTTATATACCTCTAAAATCAGCAACATTACATACAAAACAGGGCTTGTTTTTGTTTTCTTACTAATTGCTAGACTTAATAAAATAATGAAGAAAATGTTAATAATACAGATTAAACTTAAAAGTATATCATGTCTGTAAACCATTTTATTGTTAATATGTACAAAATACTAAGGAAATATTCTTCCAGTATTCAGAAAGATTATCCAGTTCAGCAAATAAATGTCATGTCATTGAGAAATGAGTGAAATTCCAACATGGGTCTTCATTGGTTCACTTTTGTCTTACTCATTAAAGTAAATGAAAATAACAACCGACATTACTAAGTCAGAACTATATTCATTCATCACTGATGGGAGCAACTTCTTTACTGAATTGGATAGTAATCAAGTATTCATAGTCTGATTTTTTTTCCACACAATTGTTGGTAATAGAATCACGAAAACTAATATTGGATATTACAAGAAGTAGCAAGGCACACTGAAGTGATAGGTGTAAACTGAAAAACAAAATAAATATTTTACCTTAAAATTTGTTTTTCCTGAAGTTATATAAAGAAATCATTAACAGAAATTTTTAACTTAACTCCCAAATGGAACCATGAATTTTACTAACATGATATGAAATTATTTTTCAGATTCTGATCCCTGAAATGCTAAAATGACAATAAGTTGATTTTTTTTTAATGTGGAAGTGAAAACAGATACAGAAAATGATAGGAATAGAAATCAGTGTGGAGCAACAAAGCCAATAGAACCAAATTTCAAATCTGTTGAACAACCAATCATTGAAGAAAAACCATCCTGCTCATCAAAGGAAGAAACAGATAATTATGTGCTTTTTATGTTTATAAAACAGTACACATGGTTTAAAGTAAAAGAAGGTAAATGAGGATATAAGAATTGTTTGACAGGTCAGCATTTAGGAATGACAGGAAAAAAGCTTCTCCGTGGGTCCAAGGAGTGGAGCGCATATTCAAGATTTGTTAAAAGTAATGACTCAGTTTCCAATTTAGTGCAGAAATTAAACACAGTTCTACTATAGTGCTTGTTTTGAAAATTCTAATTTGTTTCAATGCAATTGACATATTAGGGAACAAATTGAATGTAGCACAGATTTCATGGTTTCTTATGCATGATTTCATCAGCAAAAAACAAATTGCCTACAGCTGAACTGAGCACAAAATGTCCGCAAACAGACCTTAAACATCTGCCAGCTACCTCATTTCATTGAGGGTGTTATCCTGCAGCACTTTATAATAAATAACTCAGTAGCTACAACTCTTCCCATGCTCACTTCCCCAAGCAAATTGCAATTCTTTTTAAGGTAAAGGTATATTTGTTATCTGTCTCCTGGTACAGTATGAGCTGTGGGCAGAGGAGGGTCAGATCAGCTCTCCTCCTTCCTCCCCAATACACCCTTGCTTCTTTCCCTGAGTTGCTGGTCATGGAGGCCTCTAGCCATCACCATGGGGCCACAACTAGAGGCCACTGCCGCTATTGTAGTATTTATGTATTTCTTAACTATTTAACATGTATAAAACTGCTACTATTTTTTTCAGTACCTGTCTTTTTTTTTCTTAATGTGTCACTGATAAAATTTTTTAGTTTGGTATCCCTAATCCCATTTTCCCATGAGCCCTGTGGTTTTTATTGGGCAATTTTACATAATGTAGTGATTTTTAGGAATGTGGATGTCCTATTCAAAACTAATTGTAAAATATTCATGCTGCCCTAAAAGCTTTCAACAGTTTACAGTTTAGTAAAATATAAGGCATTTTAGCAATGTTGAGGGGGCCATAGAATTAAAAGAGAAATTTGGAGTAGGGAATTGTTGACATAGATAATGCAAGAAGATAGCAGAACATATAGTAAAATAAGCTAAGATAAAAATATTTTTTTAAATGTATAGAAGAGAATGACAAAATCTGTATTATAACTGACAGGCATCTACAGTTTTAAAGAAAAGGATCCTAATGATTTATTTCCATTGCTCAGTTCAGTCAGCTTTCACACTGGTAATGTTATTTATTGCTTTAAAAGACTTGCTGTCAGCTACAGCAGAGTGTATTTTCAGTACATTATTGTCTACTCTAAATGATTGTGGCTTTGATAATGAATATTTGAAAACAAAGTTAATTGCTTTTTTTTTTCTGTTGGCGCTAATGCAGTGCTGGGAAGAAAGTCTGAAGTAACTACAAAGTTAGAAATCTTTCCTAAAATCATCATTTGGCCCTGTTTGAATCACCAGTTGTAACTATCAGTTGATGATTCGATATCTGAAATAAAGCAAGTTAATCATTTAAAAATATTTCTGCATAAAATTTATTCTGTTCACCAATCTAACAAAAATCAAACTGACCTAGGAATGGTAGCTAAAGAACTTAAAATTGAAATGATTAAAATTGCTGGAATACTAGGATGTGACCAATGGATGGTATGTAGATTGCAAGCTGCTGCTGCTGCATGACATTTAGAGCCTGCATTATACATGCGTTTTCTTCATTCTGATTCTGCTTTTGCAAAGAAGTTAACTAACACTGATTTCTTGTGAGACTTTATTCTAATGAATTATCATTCTTGAAGAATTTTCATTACTTTCAACTGCAGCATTTCATTTGCAGCCGAGATCCGGTAACATTCAGAAAGCACAAAAATTAATCAAGAGGTCTGGAAACATAAAGAGCTATACCATACATAAGAGCTCTGGAAAACTTCAATTGGTACTAGGAAGCACGAATCTCAAGTTGAAAATTTGGTAAAGTCAGATAAGTTTATGGACATTCCTTTAACAAAGAGAATAAGCAGGGCAGCTAGGTGGCTCAGTGGATAGAGCACCGGCCCTGGATTCAGGAGGACCCGACTTCAAATCCGGCCTCAGACACATAACACTTACTGGCTGTGTGACCCTGGGCAAGTCACTTAACCCCATTGCCCAGCAAAAAAAAAAGAGAGAGAATAAGCTACTTGGCCTTATGAAGAACTAACTTCACTATGGATTGCTAGTAGTGTGTGTGTGTG